GGTATAAAGTCAACTCATTTTACAGATGAGGGAACTTGGGCAGAGAGAGGTCAGGGCCATGCCTCGGTCACATGACTGCGAAGCAGCAGAGCGGGCTCTCGCCATTCAGCCACCCCTGCAGGGCCCTCGCCCCTCAAGGTGCTCAGGCAGAGGCTGGGCAGCCAGCAGACCCCTTCCCCGGGTGGGGTGGGGGCAACCAGAGACGCTGTAACATCAAGACTCTAAATCACAGGCCCAGGTGGAAGCTGCGTGACATGCAGGAAATGTCCATGCTTTGGGGTCACGGGCAAGCTATTCATCATCCCTAAGCTCCAGTTTCCTCATCCATAGAAAAAGGAATATCCCCACATCATGCACAGTTACTGTGGGGATTAAGGAAGATCACTCATTTAAGACGCCTGGCAGTCTACAAGCCACAGAATGCCAAAGACTGTGGGCAACCACCAGAAGCAATGAGACTGGCATGGGAAAGTCTTCCTCAGAGCTTTCAGAAAGAACCAAGCCTGCTGACACTTTGATTTCAAACTTCTAGCCTCCAGACTGTGAGACAATAAATTTCTGTCGTTTAAAAAAAAAATAAAGACTGGCAAATAAAAATAACAGATGCCTGGCAGAAGTTATTTCCCCTTTCCCCTTTGACTTTCCCCCAAGAAAAGAATATTTTTTAAAGCATACATTGTGTGTGTGTGTGTCTGTATTTTTACATAACCCTTGAACAAAACTTAGCTTCTCTGTGCCTCAGTCTTCTATCTATAAAATGGGCATAATAAGAAATAGTAAATCCCTCATGAGGTTGCTATGAGGATTAAAAAAGCTAATACCCATAAAGCACTTGGAATGATGTCTGGCACACAGTAAGCACCTCTAAGCGTTTGCTAAGTAAAACACACAGACACTAACAAAACTTACAATCATTTTCTTACTGTAAGGAATTAGGTCACTTCTGTGATTTGATTTCTATGGCTCTGTCTCAAAGGAGTGCAGGAAGGGTGACAGTGGGCCACAGAAGAGGGGGGTGGCCACAGAACTGACTCCTCTGCAGCCCCACGTGCAAAATGCCCCCCAGGGCGATGCTATTACAGGGAGACACGGGGGCTGCCACGCACCCGGGCAGCCTGAGCCGCGGTCCTCGTCCTGTGCTGACCTCACACTGCCTCCCTGCTGAGAGCTCTGCCTTTAAATGGTTGGCCCACCCATAGCCCAGGGAGGGGTCAGCAGACAGGCCCCAAGTGTGCCTCCACCCCCTCTCCCAGGTCTCTTCAGGGCTCCACAGATGCACAACCCCCGCCCTGAACTGAGGTGGACACGGCTCCCTCCTCACTACACCGTGCTCTCACCCAGGAGAGCCTCACCTGAGCAGGTGCACGTGCCCCCGTCACAGCCCTGGGACCCCACGGTCCCACACAGCCCCACACTGCCTTCAGAGGGTTCACGCAAGCCAGCAAGGGAGCCCAGAAATCCCGGATGAACCACCCGCGCTCACTTGACTCTGGTTCCCTGTGGGCAACCCAGGCGGGCACTGGCAAGGAATTCCACTGAGACAAGCGTGGTGGTCATGGTCCGCATCTTGACTTCCCCCACAGTTGAGGGCTGACCACACGTAACAAGGAGAGGCTCTAGTGCCACAGAAACATGAACACATCCTACGGACCAGAACATCATGCCAACATGCAAATCAATCCTAAAAGCAGAGGAGGAATTGTCAACTGTACAAGTAAGAGTTGCCACTGTGGGGACTTCCCCGGTGGTCCAGTGGGTAAGACTGCACGCTCCCAATGCAGGGGGCCTGAGTTTGCTCCCTGGTTGGGGAATTAGATCCCACATGTATGCCTCAGCTAGGATCCCTCATGCCACAACTAAGGAGCCCACATGCCGCAAGTGAGACCCAGCACAGCCAAATAAATAAATAAATAACACATAAATATTAAAAAAAAAAAAAAAAAAAAAGAGTGGCTCAGTTTTTTTTTTTTTTTTCTGCATAAGATACCCCTTCTGTATTTCGGATTGAGAAAAATTCTGTATTTCTACTGCATCATTCATGTATATGATGGTTTTTAAATTTCTGGAACTGTTAAGATATTGAAATTATGTTGCCATACCAAAATTACTATGGATTCACCAATAGATGTGATTTGCTAAAAATTAGCAACTGATTTCTTCTGTTGAATTCCTGCTCAGCATCATTATTTTGTCCTTTAAAAAAAAAAAAAAAAAAAAAGAGTTGCCACGTGTGGCAAAGTCACTGCTCCCCTTCGGGTCTCTCCTCAGGGTCTCCTCACCTCTCATTCTCCCTTCAATCCCCCCGCAGTCAGGCCTTTGTCCCTGTCACCCGGCTAGGGAGCTGGCGTCATCACAGGGGTCTCATCTCTGCCCCCGCCCTTTTCTGTGGGGTGCAGCTGCCCTCTCACCATCACCAGCACTCTCTCCTGGGTTGCCAGGGGCCGCACCCCCTCCCTCCCACCTCTCAGGCCCGCCTTCTCCTCTCCTTGGCCAGCTCCCCCTCCTCCAACAGGCCTCCAGGCACTCACACCACTCCCTCTTCTCTGTTCTCCCTCCAGGTGAACCCATTCAAGCACCAGCATCAATACCATTTCTGTGCTGATGATTCCCAAATCCAGTTCTCAAGTCCTGCTGTCAGGTCCTAAACGTCTCTCCGTCCTCTGGGTTCTCTGCTGGCCTATCGCAGGGCCTCCTCCTTTGATCCCTCTGCATCTACTCTCCCACTCTTCGCACAGGAGTCTGAGCTGACCAGTCCACCTCTTACTTCTCTCCTCTAGCGGCTTCTCTTTGCTCTCAGCACAAATGTGGAGTTCCCTGCAACAATCAGCCAGTTCCTGTGTGGCCAGGCTTCTGTCCACCTCTCCTGCCCACCTCTTCAGCTCTGGCCACACAGCCCTATCAATCTTATGAACACACTGTGTTCCCTCCCACCTCAGGGCCTTTGCACATGCTGTGTCCTATGGCCAGAAAGCTCTCTTCCATCTCTTCACCAAGTTAACTCCTAACGGTCATTGAGATTCAGCTCAAACATCACTTTTCCAAGGAAGCCTGTCCTTGGCCAATCCCGTCCCCTCCCATTCTAGGTCTGGTCCCTGGTGATTCATTCTTACTGTACCTGTACTTGTCCTGTGAATGAATGAAGGTCACAGCGGTCCAGATGACAGATAACAGGGCCTGAATGATGCAGCCACCCAGAGGGCATTCAGGAGGAAGGAAATGATGTTACTGCCTCAAAATGCATGACGTGTCACTGTCAGAGCCCAGAAAGGAAGACTCTAAAAAGCCTTGGTCACCTGATCCTCCTACACTGAGACTGCATGGGGCAAAAAATTTCTGGAGGAGGAAGAAAAATACGGTTGGTTTGGTCGCATATTTACATCTACCACACCATACACTTGATGTATGGGGACTCTGCAGCAAAGGAGAGGTGTGATCGCTTACACCTTCCTCTGTCCATTTATTCAGAGGGTCACGCACTAAATAGGCATCTGGTTCTAGTCTGGCTTCATTGCTATGCGACTCAGTTTCCCCATCTATTCTCCAACTAAGAAATGAGGTTAATCAGGACATCCCTTCCTTCTGCAGAAGCTGCTGTAAGAAAATGGGGCCTGTTTCAATTACACACAGCATTTGCAAAGCTCTGATTTTGAGCCAGGAGCTGTGCTACAAGCTAGTCGGTCAGAGATGAAAAGACCCCATCCTGCCACTGACAGGTTCAGTCTTGAGTGTGATGGAGACCCAGAGCCAGGTAATTTCATACTGAGAGCTGTGTGCTGTGCAAGAGACTGGACACTGGGTGTCCAGTGGAAGGACCAGGAAGATCCAAGAAGGCTTCCTGGAGGAGGCCACACCTGTGCTATCCTGGCAACGGACAGCAAACGCTTCAGGGAGGAATGAAGCACGATATAAATGATGCCCTTTTCCTAAATGTATTCCTTTGATTGCTGCAGAATTTGTGAACAGACTCATTCATGCCCCTGCTTTGAAGGGCCTATGCCCTCTTGTTCATGTCCAGTCACTGGAGCTTTCTGGCCTTTTACCCCAACTGCAACTCCCAAGAGGATCTAGAATTATTCGCCCACCTCAAATGCAACCGTCTTGTATAGCTCCTTGTTCAGGATCCCTGGTCATAACCAATGACAAATGCACAAATAGACAGAAATGTCTCCATCTACAGCAGTCCCACCCCAAATGCCAGTATTGCCCCCAACCCAGGAAATGCTGTTTCCGTTTCACACAGGGATGGAATGACTGCCTGCCCTTACACAAAGTTGCAGGTTTTCAGCTCATTTCAACTGCAGTACAAGCGTAGGCTTTTGAAAGCTTCACCAGAATACAGAAAACAGATCTAGCTTACAGTGCAGCATCTAGCTAAGGACTATTTCACATTTCAAATGCAGACACAGTGTATAGAATTCCTAAAATACAGTATAGGGAGCAAAAACCTGGGGAAAAATGTGAAACTTGAGAGCATTACAGATGAAAAGAACATGAGGAAATGAAAAGACATTTTGTTCCCTCCCCCACTATTTCATGTGAATCTAAATAAGAAAAATATCCCTCGATCTTCACACTGCAAAAAAATGTTACTGACATGCAAACTCTCACAGTACAATGACATGATTTTTTTTTTTTTTCTTCTGCAGTACGCGGGCCTCTCACTGTTGTGGCCTCTCTCGTTGCGGAGCACAGGCTCCGGACGCACAGGCTCAGCGGCCATGGCTCACGGGCCCAGCCACACCGCGGCATGCGGGATCCTCCCGGACCGGGGCACGAACCCGTGTCCCCTGCATCGGCAGGTGGACTCCCAACCACTGCGCCACCAGGGAAGCCCTGACATAATATTTTGATAACCATTCAAATAAACAAAAACCAAAAGGGTCTCTCCATGGTTGGGAGGGAGTGAGGGACAGCTAACCAAAGAAAAACGCTCTCTTCACTATTCATTTCTCTTAGAACAATTCTTTTCGCAGCAAGCATATCAAATATCACAGCCATACCTTTTCAGAGGGATTAAACAAAGATCTTTCTTCCTTGTGACCAGCACCTTCTTGGGAGAATCTGTTTTCTGTGTAGAAGAAATGTCAGAAACCTCTGGGAGGAAATGAGCTGCATTTGTATTCCGCTCAGAAAATGTCATCACAGATCTGTTTACCTTAACTGTGGACCATGATTCAGCCGTGACAACTGTCTTGCATACTGATCAATTTATTTGCAGCAAAATTTCTAATGTTAACTGCTTAGGTTCTGAAAAATTGGTGACTTGGATTTCTTGTGCAACCACAATGTATGTTGAAATCTCTAGATTGTTATCAAAACATGTCAGGCAGAGATCAAAAAAGATTCCTTCTGATGTGCAAGGGAGAAAGGGTCCCTTCCACTTCTGGAAGGAAGGCAGGGCACATGACTCCCAAAGGCCCTCCATAGGGTGGGATTTTTGTAGCACAAGGTACAGAAAAATCATTAGACCGAGAGCCAGGGGACTCTGGCCCCAGGTCCTTGCTAGACTTTAACCAGCCGTGTATCCTCTTTAAGGCAGCCCTCATCCAAAGGTGGGCTGGGTGGGGGTCTCTGCAGCAGGGCAGGAGGTGGTAGACATGGGAAGAGACGGCCAGTGGACCCAGGAAAGGAGGAAGAGGCCAGATCCTTCCTCCATCAGCTGGTGTCTCCCTCCTGGACACAGAGCCCTGGCTGTGGGCCTCAGTCACTCCTAGCCAGCAGGCAGGTTTGGCATTAGGGAACTGGAACCAGTCCCAGGGCAGCCTGGGGAGATGCCCTCCCACCTCAGCTAGCAATGCTGGCTTACGCAGAGCCCTGCTCCCTGGCCCGAGTGGGCAGTGCTGTGCCCTTTGGAACACGGACACTGCACCAGAGCCCACTAGGGCGTTAGCACCTGTATTCCCACTAGTGTCCAAGCCCACCCTCCTGGCTGAAGGCCCTGCATCCCTGCCTTGAACTTTATAAAAAGGGTAAAACACACAGACCCAAGAAGAAGACGGACAACCAACAATTCCAGAGGAAGAAAGGTAGGGAGGTTACTGATGAGGTTATGATTCTGGAGGAAGACAGGAAGAGTGAGCTCCACACTCAATCTGGCCGCCTTCTGGGACATGACAAACAAAGGCCCACATATATAACCACAACGGGGCCTCCACCACGAATTCTCCCATGCTTGAGTCAAATACGACAGCCAGAGACCATCAGAGGGAAGTGGGTCTCATCTGTCAGGCAGAAGACAGGCCAGGTCACCTGGGTTGTAGGCTCGGGGTCTGTCAGTGGACAGGCTGCCCCTGAGAGGGTCTTAGAGGGATCTTCAGTTAAAACCCAGGCTGTGGTTGAAGGAAACTCCTTGAGGCAGGAGGAGACGTGAAACTGTCTTCAAATACGTGAGAGACCTTCCTGTATGAAACGGAAGAGGCCAATTCTTGATTACTGCCAAGGCCTTGGCATGGCGGCCAAGGATATGAAGGGTAGGGGAAGAAAGGAATGACTCCCATGCACGCTGACTGTCCAAATACAGTTTGAAGTTGAAAAGAAACCAAATGAACTAAAACGTCTGACATAAAGTGAAAAGCTAATAAATTATGGAATACCCACACAGATAAAAATCACTCAGCCATTAAATATTATGATTTCAAAGAATAATGTTACAGGAAAATGCTAAGGGTACACATTAATAGAGCAGGATACAAAAGCTTAGAGGCAAACAGATATCTGTCAGGGATCCATCAAAATTCAGCTTCAGTCACAGTACTTGCCCTGCTTCTGAGCAAATGCCTCGACCTTTGAAAGGAAGAGCAGTGGAATACCCATTTCAGGATCGTTTCTGGCGTCCCTGAACTTGTGGGTAATCAGTGACCCTATAATCACATGGGTCACCATCGTTATCTACATCTATAGTATATCAACAGCAATTCCAAAACAAGGCATGCCACACAAACTTACTGTTCAAGTCTGAATGTTCACTTTCAAACGTAAATAGGCATTCTAGACAAACTAAGATTGAAAAGCTCCTTATATATATGTTTCAATTCTCCCTATCAGATGGTTTATAAATATATTGTTGCAGGAGTATAATGTGTGATAATTCATTGCCATAGGCTGACAGCTATTAATTTTACGTGCAAAACCAATTATTAAGAATTTTCAAATACTTAAATGTAAGAGAAAATGGGGAAATAATACAAATATTAAGGGAGAATGCATTAGCTTGCTGCCTTTAGGAAGACTAGTATATCCTTTTTGAGCTAAGATGTCTATAGAGCCATAAATAATACAAAGCAGAATAAAAGAGATTATCAGAGTATGCTGTAATTAATATCTTTTTTTAGAGATTTTGAAAGACTGCTTTTTAAAAATTATTTATTTATTTTTGGCTGCGTTGGGTCTTTGTTGCTGCACGTCGGCTTTCTCTAGTTGCAGCGAGCGGGGGCTACTCTTCGTTGTGGTGCATGGGGTTCTCATTGTGGTGGCTTCTCTAGTTGCGGAGCACAGGCTCTAGGCACGCAGGCTTCAGTAGTTGTGGCACACGGGCTTAGCTGCTCCGCAGCATGTGGGATCTTCCCGGACCAGGGCTCAAACCCATGTCCCTTGCATTGGCAGGCAGATTCTTAACCACTGCGCCACCAGGGAAGCCCTGTAATTAATATCTCTGTGGAGTTGTTTGGTATATGTACTGGCCTTCATGGCAATAAACTGTCAAGATTTTAAATTTTTAAAATTTATTTGTTTAGGCCATGCATCTTTCAAGAAAAATTCTTATTTGGAAGTTTTCATATCTGTACAAGGATGAATTAATAGCCACCTTTGTCAACTTTGCTACCTCAAAACTGCACGAGAGAAAATCTTCAAAATCAAGTACATCAAGCTGATCTAGAGGAAACCATCATCAATCTAGATGCAATTAAGAAAACAAAGAGAAAAAAGAGGAAACGTTAGGGAAATATTAAGTCCCCCTGATACCTCTCGTTCCTCCCCCAAACTCAACTGCAAATGAACATCTATTTAGTGTCACTGACTGCAGCATGATGAACACAGGAGCAATCAATCGTGAACAGTGCCCATATATCATTCTGAGTCACATGTCAACCTTTTACAATGTAGCTACTACTAATAAATAATAATAAAATAGCAATAAAACCTACTTTTCAAAAATGTCTGGCTTTCATTCAACGATGGTGATATTCAGCTCCAGCCTCAAACACAACCAGACGTTGACTTTGATGCTCAGACGTTCAGCATTAGGTCCAATGGATTTAATTCAATGCACCTCTAATACACACATACAGTAGAGAAAGATTCTGTGTGTGTGTGTGTGTGTGTGTGTGTGTGTGTGTGTGTCTTGAGGTCAATACACTAAAAAGGGGACAAAGCTCTATTTGAATGGTCAGATTACCTGTGATTTTTATTTCCCACTTACCATTTTCTGTATCTCTAAGTTGTTACAATTTAGAATACAGCACTCTTATGATGGGGGTACAATGCAAGTGGTTGATCTGAAAGTGAAGGAGCAGGCGTGGGATGCTGGACCCGTGGGCGGGCTGCTTGGGAACTTAGAGCACAGAGCTGGGGAGTGGAACAGAGGCCGGCAGGTGGGAAGTCGTGCAGCACCTACAGCTGAGCAAGCTCGCCCTGGAGGAAGGGGAAGGGGTGGTGGGCGGGAAGGCGGCGCGGCTCCAAGATAAAGTACCTGCTGAGCCCCACAGCAGGGCTGTGAGAGAAGCATCACCATCCCCATTTCCCAGGTGAGATAGTAGTTATTCTTTTCTGATGAGAACAGTAGTAAATATACGTGGTAAACAATCAAATATTCAGGCAAGTGGAAAGAATGGGGACATGAGGCCAGACAAGAGGAGAGGAGAAAAACAGAAGAGAAACAGAGAAGGTGAGACTCCAGCCAAGAAATACTGGGAAAGTAGTCATTCGAGGTGAGGGACATGCCGCCGCCAGCTCAGAAGCGAGGACGAGGGACAGTGGTGGCCAGAGGCCTGGGCCTGCCCCTCATCCCCCACCCCCAGTCCATGACTTCTCCACGCCTGTGGGCAGTGGGGAGTGAAGGCCCACTTCCCTGCACACACAGGGGGCCGGTCATTCCAGTCGGTACCATTCAGAACCAGGACCTGGTCCTGAACTCCTCACAGTTGTGCCGGCCTCTCAAATCCACCCCGACGCTTACCTAGCACTTGCCAGGTCCCAGGCACAGTGTAGGCGGTGAATACAGAGAAAGGCAAGAGGGAACCTGATAAGGTGAGGGAATAAGGACCAGCAAAGAGCCCAGGACATGTGGCTGTGTGAGAAGTGACACACAGGTAAGTTCACAGAGCCCCGGGAGCTGAGGTGTCAGCACACCCACACCGCAAGCAGCAACGCGTGGGAAGGGTCCAGAGGCTCTGGAGGCAATGAGCCGGTGGACTCGTGGTGAACACTGTTTACCCAGTAAGCGACGGACAAAGCAAGTCAGACTAGAGTCTCAGAGATACCGTGGCCTTATCAATTCTCATCCAAACAAGGACACTTTTGACAGAGTGGCACATATATTAAACCAGACCGCACACAGCTGTGTGTGGACGCCAGGTCCTGGACGCCACAGTGAAAGGGGTGGGTAACACCTCTGGTGCCAGGACCCATATACCATGAAGCAAACGCACCCCCACCAGGACACTAGATGGTTAATGATCTGGGGGATGTGGGTCACCTGGGAACACCACTGCCGAGTTTAGACTCCCCGAACCACCTAGCAAGCAACACTTCCGTACCTTCACTCAAACCCTAAGGAGGCGGCACTGTGATGGAGACCCTTGGAGGCACGGGGTGGAAGCAAGACCATGCTGTTACAACATGCCATTTGCTGAGCTTGGGTCTCTAGTCCCCGAGGGCAGGGAGCCGTGTCTATTCATTTTTCTTAGAGACTCGACACATGTTTCAACGACTGCCATGCTCTCCTTGTTGCCATGTTTGAGATGAACTGGGTCCCGTAGAACAGGGTTCCTGGAAGCCTTGCTGAATGCTCAGATCCCAACTGCTCTTCTGAGTGATTTACCCACCTGTTATAGACTGCTTTGTGTCCCCCCCAAATTCATATATTGAAACCCTAATCCCAGTGGAATGGTATTTGGAGGTGGGGCCCTTGGGAGGTCATT